CTATAGGCAGGAATCTGGCTGCAATGGACACAGTGCGGTCATTGTGCAGCTATAGCTAATTAGAGGTGAGCATGACAGGCAGGCAGACACTTCTGACCAGCGGCTACCCGAGAAAATAGAAGGTCAGATATCTCGACAGTGTGTTCTTTGCTGCAATAGCAGCTGTGTGCTGAAGTAAAGGAGATGTCATTTCATCACTTTTGTGAGCCATAACACATCCTCACTTCCACTCTAACTCATTCACTCTGTCGCTCACACACACACACATGCACACACTGCTGTTATTGTTGTTGCAGTGCTCCCACGACACCAACAATCTCTGCTTCCCTCCCCCACACGGGCTCACATCTATCTCCCTTTCACTCCCTCTCTTCCCCCTCGTGTCCCGGGCAGCCCTGACATGCCTACTTCAATTGATTTAGAGTCAATTCAGCTTTTGATCTGATTGTTATCATGTGACTTTTCGCACACCTCCCTCTCGATATGTGACTACTGTATTATTTTCAGAGTGGGGCTTGAGGTTTTTTTCTTGGACCGAGGTAGGAATACTCCTGCCTAGTTTGCACTTGCTCAGTTTGCTCGGTCTGCCTCTCTTTCTTTATTTTTCTCACCTTCCTATTCATCCCTCGCCCCCCGCCCACCCTCCACTCCCCACAATATCAACCACCACTGCAGAGTCCTATCTGCTTTTTCTTTTTTTTCCCACTCCCCTCAGCTGCACAGTCTGGTGGTGGGTCTCTCAATTGCCCGGCTTTGTAAACAGGAAGCCTGTGCTCTGTTCGCTGTACCTGAAGCGTGGGTAGCAGAACAGGGGCACCCATACAACTGCACAATAATGGGAATCCAAGATGGCAGGGAGGGGTCCCATAAAATCAGCAGAGACAACAGAGGAAAGCGGCATCCAGGAAAGCCATTGTCAAATGAGAGTAGACAGAAGCCAAAAAGATTGTTGATTTAGTTTTTCCTTTGGTAAATAGATTGTTGATTTGATTTTGTGTTTGTCTGTCTGTATTGGATCCTGCCTAGCACTGTAGTGTTTGTGAGGATTAATGTCATGGACAATCCCTCAAACTCATTTTCTTTCTAACTGTGGAGCTCTGTGGGAATTACAGTTTGCGGATAAGGAAGGAAGACATTGTATTTGCTGCTGACAATGGTCCCAATTGTGAAGCACAGAAATCTGGGTTCACTGTGTTCCCTTAAATTTGGCTGTTTTGAATACTTGTTCGAATTCGGGCTGGCGTGTGGTTCTCACTTTTTCCAAAACAACTGCTCTGTTTTACATATGCCGTCCAGCTACTGGCTGACAACTGATAGCATAACCTTGTGGATTATTGCCCTTTTTAAACCCCCCCCCCCCAAACACTTTATTGTTGCTTAACATGTTGGAAGTCAGGGTGAGTTTGGGTGTTTTTCTGCCAGGCGAGCTGTAATAGGGGGGAAGAAGCTTGACGGGAGTCAGTTTATCATGAGCACAGAGAGCACAACAGATAGATTCCCCCCCCCGTCTCCTCCCCTTCAGCACAGATAGACTCGGAGCACGGGCACTCAGCCAACGCTATCAATCTATCCGTTCCTACCCCCAGCCTCTAACTCTTATTGGAGGACAGCTTCCAAAGGGGCAAGAAAGCATGAATCATAGGCCGGCTATGAGAAGTGGTTATGCCTCTAAATACACATGCTGTGGCTAAAAATCACTCTGTTGCTTTTCCATTAATGACAGCCTTGTAAGTGATTGCCAGAGCCGTGTAACAAAGTTGTATCTTTCAGGAGGGGCCGCGGCTGTTCGGGGAGAGAGAGGGATTGTTGGTCTTGGCCTAGTTTTCTTGTCTGATCAGAAACCTGTGCACCTCTGCCCTTCCCCCCATCCAAACCTAAGCTTCTACTATTACAGGCTGCGAGGGGCTCAGTATGGAGTGAGGTGAGCAGCTTGCCTCACCACGGAGCTCTGTTTGCGTTATGCACGCTGCCTATACTGTATGTTTACGAGCTTATCCTCGCGTGTGATATAACCTAGTGATGTGTTTCGGCCTGCGCGCCTGGCTCCTATGCGAGCTATATCAGAGGTGACATATGCAGGACGGCCCTGTAAGTTAGCGTTCTGCAAAGCATTGTTGATTCAGTCCAAGAGGATTAAGTGCACATTATTGTACGCCGTAATTTCCTGTGTGAATTTACGCAATTCAAAATACATGTACACAGATAGAGTGTTTCATTAATATGCACAAATATATGACCGATTAGCACCAATGTGGCAAACATATGCTAATTTTCCACGTGCATCTGTCGTTAATTACAGATATGAAGCTGGGAATGGCTCGAAGGAATCAAAGAGGGCATGTGTGACAGCATCCATCCCATTGTGCCGTTAACCGTCCATTGTCCTGTGAATGTATTTTCAGATTATAGATGACATATTTTTGTTTTTGTTTAGTCCTTCCTGTATAATGACGCCGTGGGCTTTTAGGTTACCATGTGGTAGATTACCCACAGTTAGTGTGGATAACCAAACATCGTTTCAGCGTGAAAAGTGGGCTTTAAGAAGTCACTATGTGTTCTTTTATGTCTGCGTGAGTGGTATAACATTCGCATATTCCAACCTGGACTAATTATTCTGTTACAGCTGAATATAAAATTAGATTTCTCAGTATCAGGAAAAACATATTAAGTAAGCTTTTTTTGTCCTTAGCTCTATGATGTTAATTTGGTCCATGAGAAGACAATTCTTGAAAGAGCGTTTCCAGTCATCAGCTGCCCGTTATACAACACATTTCCACTGGACGCTCTGTGTGTTCATTAAGATGAAGATCCTCAGCATATATATGTTTTTTTAAAGTCTTTTTTACCACCCCCCTCCCCTCCTTCTCTTCAGCCTGGCTGCCCTTGTACATGCTCTCCATGTCAGACCCAGCTGTTACTACAAACTACTTGGAGGGCTTACAAGCCTCATTGCTAATACTGACAACAGCACTATTCTTACTCAAGGCCTAACGTCTCCTGGAAAAAGCAAGAATACGAGAGATTTTTCTCTGACTCCACTAGAAATTCATTTCCCCAAACAGATGTTTCCATCTGCTCGTGTCTAATCTTTTGATTAATACGTTCCTCAATGAAGGGATTCGAAATTGGTGTTAGACAAATAACTCGGCGTGCCCTTTCGCTGATAGCTGCGCGATTATTCTGTGATGCTAAAGCTGCCTTTATATTTTGCTGTCTGTATGTGTGTGAGTACCTGTATGTGCCAACGAATGTGAATGGGTGCACGGTATGTTTGTGAAGGTATTTATGGCCCATATGTGCGCTTCTTCCGAGCTGTAACCCCATTACATTCCTAAAATGGTCCACGAGACTAATTAATGTTCTGTGCAAGGCTTTTCTTATACCCAGGGGACACCCACCCGATGGATTATTTACCTATATGTCCTATTGACAGCGAATTCCCACTCCCTGCTGGTAACCTCTGTGTAAACAGACAGTTTGGGGCCTCAGGGTGGATAATAACACTATGCTGAATTTGTATTTTCAATGTCTTTTTGTTGTTATAGCTCACACCCAAAGAATGGGCATCCTGCCCACACAGTAACTCAAATGATAGCCTTCTTGTAGTAGCTGATAGTGATAACTCTGATAGCAAAGAGATGCTTCTGTGGATTTCACTCTTTTATCGGTCCCAAATGTATATAAAATAATAACTAGTTTATAGGCAGAAGACAAAGGACAGCCCTCTTAACTTCCCTCTTCTTTGACATGGTATGCCCTCAGGTTAAAAACAACAGCTGTCTAACACCTACATACACCTTTGAAAAGAGAGGTTATTGTGTGTTTTCATCTGAGCACAATCACACTGGCAGGTTGCGTGCATATTGAATAAAGGCAGTGGCATTAGAGTCGGTAACGGCATTATCTAAACTTATTGCATTTCATTATGAACATGACAATTTTGCTGATCTAGCGTCTACGTCTACATTTTGGTGTGGTTACCTTATAAAAGCGACATTTTAGCGTCACTGTTTAATTTCAGTTGATCATTCCGTGTGCCCTCCTTGTTTGAACTGTTTTTTTTTTCCTGAAGTATTTCTCCCTCTCACCCCCACTTCTCTGTGATCCTATACTCTGCTCTCCCTCCTCTCCGCTCTGCTCTGGAGCAGGCAGTTACTAGGGCCATGTTGATCTTATGGTTGTCAGCTCATTCACAAGAAGCGGACCGGATCTAAAAACTAGTAGCCTGCAGAAACACTTGGCTGAGTGTGTGGAGACAGAAGATTTATTTTGATAACATGTGTGTAAGTTTTTAATTTAAGTTTTTGAATATAGTATTGTTTTGGTGTTTTAGACTTTTGGTTAGAAACCCCCCCAGCTATTAGAAAGGGTCTTGAAAGTACACCACACATTATATAAGCATCAGATTTATTAATGCCATGAGTGCAACTGAGCTGATGTTTTAATATTTAAACACTCTAGAGAAAGTGGACATTGTCTGGAAATGTCCACATTAAATACTGCTTACATGTGCTGGGTTAATACAAATGAAGGTAAGCAATCACCACATAAATAATCTATACACATGTACCCTATATGTAAAAGATAACATGCATATGTCAGTGTAACAACTAGCTAGAGAAATTAAGCTAGTTTTATATACAGTATTGTATAACTATTGCGAAATCTTAAAGTAGCAGTAGTAGTACACAATTACAGAAATAATCGATATATGTAAAGCCGCCGTTTAGAAATGTTGATTTTTAAATAAATGGAAAAGCGTGCACACCAACCGCATAAATAAAATGATGTCAGCGGGCACGGAGCCCCCTCAGCCAGCCTCCCTGAGCACACAGGGAAAGTGAGCGTCAAGAAGAAGGCGGCCCCTAACGGCCTTTCCGGCCGCGCACTCGATTCCCTTGCTGTCAATCATGAACACACGCGCTCCCATTGGCTGAGCTCTTTCGCATTTATCGTGCCATCTCGTCGAGCTGCTGCTGTGTAATCGCAGGTAACTTTCTTACGATAGCCTTCCGCTGGGTACGCTAGTGCTCGTAGCGCTCCCGTATTTTGAGGCTTACAGATACCGGAGCCCAAACCAAGCGTCGCGGGTACAGGTTTCCCGTGTTTCGAGTACCGGAAAACGTTGAGTGTGTATTTTCCCCCTCTGAAAAACAGCCCATCTCCGAAAGGCGTTTGAAATCGGACACCGCTGGCGTTGAGGCCGTCACGTTTGTGCGGAGGGATACGTTGTTGCGTCTGACAATGTGGACGGAGGTGGTGAAGATGTCTACGAGAAGAATGAAATCATCTCAGTTGTAACAACAAAAAAGGAAGACGTGAGATTAGTTACTATAATAGATTTGTTTGCACACAGACTTGTTACAGAGAGGCAAACACGTGGGCGTTGTGTGGAAAAAACAGGCTTCCCGGGACAAAAGGAAGACATCTACTGTGCTCCAATGCGTTTCATGCACTGAGGTCGAAATACTCTTGAAGTTTTATGTTTTTCTCCTTGCGAGTCTCCGCTTTTCTTTTTACTCTTGGATACCAGACACACGGGGAGGAGAGGTAAAAAAAAACACACTCTGTACACTTCGTGTTTCGGGGGAAGTTGCACGAATTCGACGGCTTTCATTGACGCGTATTTTGACGCCTGCAAATTGTCGAAAAGTTTTCGGGAATGTGTGGTTAAAGCGGGGGGATGTAAGTTTTTGTCTGGTTTGAGGTGGCGAGCCAAGTGTGTGATGGTCTCCGCATCGACCACAGAGAGAAGGAAATTACTCCTTTGTTCTGCAAAAAGAGCCCGTTAACGTTAAATGTTCGAGCTGCCCGACGAGCCTCGGTTTGTTTTTTTTGTTTTTTTCCACCGTGTGCCTTAGCCGCTTTAGCTCCGAGCCACCGAGGGAAAATATAAAATCTTTACGTTGTCCAGCATTTTGGCTGAACTTTGTGATGCGTACCGACGTGTGTTTTCCAAACAGGCCGGGAAAAACTTTCCATAAAATCCCTTTGGTAGCCCTTTAAACATTCCTTTATGGAAGTGTCTGGCCACCAGCTAGACTTATTTTATTGCACATTTGGCAGGAAATTCCTCATGCTCCCACCCCCACCGTTTCTTCCACTCTGCTCCCTCATAATGCACGATTGGACCCTAATAACATGCGAAAGAAAGAGCTTTAGTATCTGTTGCATGAAGTTTGGAGCCTCGCTCCTGTTCTGGGCGGTCAGGGCCGTGGTACTTGTTTTACACACTGATTAGACGTGTAGTTTGTTGGTCTTGTGGACGATGTCACCGCGGATCAGAATAAGCCGTGAGTGGGTTTAGCTGACAGTAAAAAAAAAAAAAAAAAAAAAAAAAAAAGAAAGAAAGGAAAAAAAGAGAGGGGGGGGGAAGGTTGGTCCCTGGATATGGCCTAGCGGATCTGATCAAATAATGTGCAGCCTGCATCCTGTGGTGCACATGTTCTCTGGCATTGTTGTAAAACTATTCCTATTAACGTGTTTATGGCGTGAGGCCCCAACATCCGTTACTTTCATGCAGTGTTTGAATCAACAGTAGAACATGCTCATTGTGTTCTTGTAGTAATAGCATTGTTATAAACATGTTATAGCCTTCCCCCCTTTATTTTTATTTTTTTGTTTTTTAACAGCAGGCTGGATTGGACACAACCTCAAATGCTTGTTTCTTGGCTAAGTAACAGGGACCTAATTTGGCCTATCATTGTGTTTGAAAGCCAAAAACTCGGGAAGCTATCTAAACCCAACTCGTTAGGGTTTATTATAAAGTTTAAGTGGTGATTTGTTTTCGGTTTGGCTCAGTGTTTTGTGATAACTGGAAGTGCAGTGTCCTTTTGTGGAGAGTGACCTGCCTTCTCTGCCTTGTGTGGGTGACAAAGACCCCCAATGTGCTTTCTTCAAATATTGATCCAGCACTAGCTGAAGATGCCATTTTGTTAACATTAAGCCCCTCCATGTGCTCTGCTCCATTTAACTCTGTGCTAAAGTCATTTTTTTTAGCAGCGTGTGTGTGTGTGTGTGCATGGCAGATTTTCCTTTTGTAGGGCGTCTTATTCTAAAAGTTTGGGATGGCAATGACAGCCATATTTCTAGCCTATTTGCACTTGGGGCAGTGTTTTGTGTATTCTCACTTCCTTTCCTCGTCCCAAGGTTAAATTAGTCTCACTTGTTCTGCCTTCTCTGTACTGGGACAGCAGTGTTTGGCTACCTTTGAAATAACTTTTCTCGTGTATGCAGACAAAGGATTTAGTTAGACTTTTTATTTCTTAAGAAAACTCCAAATTTGCCCCGTGTTTACATCACACACTTGCATTTCTCCAGGATGTGCATCTTTCTTGTTTTTGTTTTGTTTGTTTTGTTTGGTTTTTTTTTTGTTATTATTTATAACATCTGTTTATGCTAGTGCTGAATTGGAAAAGAGGCTGTAAAAGTACACCACCTGTTGGTGTCCAAGTGCTTCTGTTCTTCCAGTTGCTTCCCTTACCCCCAGTTTCCCTGTGAGGCGTAGAGAAACACCGCTCGGCATCAGAGAGCGGCCCTCAGGCTTGCGTTGGAATGCAAAACACTGGGTAAATCCAGTCTTCGTGCTCACTGTGTCATTTGACAAGGTCCTTTCTGAGTTGACATATGGTAATTTGGTAATGACGTGTTTGCATACAGTCATTAGCTCTGCTTTTCACCCCTATTTCCTTGGGCTAACAATAGTCCCAATTATGTCTGTAATTGTAAATTCTTTTATGTAGCAATGATCGACATATGGCTGTGTTATTTGCCAGGGTTGCGTAAAATGAAAGACTTTTTTTTTTTTTTTAAAGTCATTACTTAGAAGTGATTTGACTGAAGGCAGAGTATTCATCACTTCATGGCGGTGTCTCCTCCACTGCCTGGATGGGAAGGCAATGTCTGAGGGGAAATTTGCATTTTTAAGTAGACCTGCCTATGGTGTGTAGTGGTCAGTAGGTTTGTGTTGTCCTTTTTGCTGTAGCTAGCCCATGTTTCATTGAGTTATTTCCCAAATATGCAACATTTAAATAAGACCTGCATATAATTTTCATATTTGGGGAACTTTTTGAATTAAAAAAAAAAAAAAGGTCATGAGAAAATTACTTTTAGCCAAATTGCTGACATACTGCACCCCTGCACTGGTGTCTAATGAGACAGAAAAAACCCGCCAATAAAAAAGCGTAAGCGAAGGGGGTGTGAGCTAGACAAAGTAGGATAGTTTAACTCATCCTTTGCCATCATCTCTGTTTAAGAGGAACATGTAACTTCTTTTTGTGTTTGCTAGCGCCATTAAAATCCTGTATCTGCAAATTTCTCTCGTAGGGTTTATTAGAAACTGAAGGGTATGAACGAACAGCAGCAAAGAATGGCTGCAGTGGAAACTGACAAGGAACTCAGCGACCTCCTGGATTTCAGCGCGGTAAGAGAGCGGGCTCTGGGTGGCAGTGGTAGGTGGGTGGCTATGGGAGGAGGAGAGTGCGATACAGGTCTGGGCATAGGCGGAGGTCAGAGGGATGTGGGATAAAGACCAAGGGGGGGGGAAAAAAAAGCTTAACGTTACAAATAGAAATGTTAAAATCTCTGTATAACGGCCTCTCTGTCAGATCAAGATATTTCATTCTTGGCATCAGAGTAGTGCAGGTAAAAGTCATGCTGTACTCCAGGTGATGGGTGAGAATAAAGTCACACTTTAGGCTACCCAATTACTGAGGTGATGCAGAGATATAGGTTACGAGGAAGTTGATCGTCCTGCCGTCAAACAGAATCCACTTTAAAATGTAAATATTGAGTCAGGAGCAGCTACAGGAAACGGTACAAATAATCTCACTGCTGTTTGTGTTGTGAGGAGGTTCTTAGGGGGAAATATTGTGATAGAAGACCGTGGCTGAGCAGACAGCTTCCACCTTTCTTATTGTCACATTTTTAGTCTTTAAGATGACATTTTCACAAAGATGCTGTGAGAGCTATGCTCCAGACATTATCTACAAAGTGGATAGAGGAATTCTGTTGAGCTTTATTTACCCGCGTTTCAGTTTATTGTGAAGCTTTTTTTCAGCTGACATAAACATCATGGAGCCCCGGTGGAGCTGTGTTAGATTTTTCTTTTCTCCTCAATAACCCAAATAGCTGGCGAGGCTAAGTTGCAAGCCCTGGATAATTATTATACGCAAAGAATAATCGGTAATTCCAAACTCCGACTCTCAGTGAGCTGTCGTTAGCAGACGTAATGTCCTATGAGATTTTTTTTCTTTTTTCTTTTTTTCCCCCAAAGTTGAATTGATGTTGTTTTGCTACGGCAGAGAACAACAGAAATGTATTTTGTGTGCATATGTTATTAGTAAAGCACCATTATAATGCTGTTTGTTGCAGTTAGCTGCTTTGTTTGTGCTAGAGTTCAAAGAAACTTAGCCTATGTTCTGAGCAGGGCTTTGTCGCAGGTTTCATTGTTAGTCACTTGGGTTTGTTAGGAAAGCCCAGATTGATCAGCTGCCAATTTGTATCAGCAGATGTTTTGTTTAAATATGACATTGATAATTGGGTGAGAAACTGTTGAACGTTACACAAACGAATTTCCTCCTCTTTGTTTATTTGTTGTCTGCTCATAGGAAAGCAAGTGAGATTGGCCGTGTCATAAAGAAAACTAAATGTGTATTAGGCAGTTAAACGTAATGGAAGAAAAGATGGTCTTTTAATCAGAATCTTTGGCTATGTCATACATTTAAAAAGGAAAAAAAATCACGTGCGGCAATGGAAGATTGTGTTATTCTGTCCTAGTTACAGGCATGTTTGGTTTGTACAGCAGACTTTGGCCGTGTCACTGAAAGATGGTCCTGTGGTAAAACCCAGAGTGGCTTGCTGACATTATTAACACACGTCAGTTACGTCATTATAGTTTCATTTCAAAGGGCAGTATTTTGTATTGTTTGGGGTCTAACTTAATTAGACTGTTTTATGCGTTGTTTGCCATAGAATAAAACTTCACTTATGTTTAAAATCAATATTTATAACTTGATAGATTTTTAGGTTTTTCTGTTGATGCTGAAAGTTATAGATGGTTAAATCGAGTTTTTTGTTTTGTTTTTTAAAATCCCCTTTATATCTCACTTTAGACTCATCCAAATCTGAAATGCCTGTAAGGTGGAGGGGGTGGGGAGGGGTACTCACAACTGAACGATGTGTTTGTGTGTGTGATGTGATGTTAGCCATTAGTGAAAATAGGATGTGTGAAGTGTGCCATCATTTTCCTTGTTACTTATGGTATCTCACTGCTTTTGTCTTGTAGATGTTCGCGCCTCCAGTAGCCAATGGGAAAAACAGAACGATGACACTCGCCAGCTCTCAGTTTGGTGGATCAGGTAAGCTTTTCGGCTTGATCTCACTGCATTTTTCTTAAACTGTATTAGTTTTGATTCGTGCACCGTTCTTAATCTTACCACTCGTTTTTTTTAATTGACATTACGGTGGCTGAATGTGGGATTTGACACGGCAACATTAAGCAAATTTGCTGTTAAATCGGTGCTCTTTAACGGTATTATAAATGTAAAACTGGAGTAACGGGAAAAAGAGTTTTTCTTTGTAATTTACAGATGACATAATGGAGCACACACATTAAAGGTCAACCCTCTGAGGTGACGAAAATTTCTAACCTAACCTTTGTGGTATTTATCGTGCAGACAGTTTCAGTTTTATTTACCGATGTTTTGAGATCTTTTCCACTTCCTTCGTATAGGTAAATTTTATTTGTGGTGCATGCTGCTCTACAGAATTTCATTTGAGACTGTAGCTATATTTTCAGAACTGACGTCCCCCCCCTCTCTCTAATCCACAGACTGAATAGTTTTCATTGGATCAACCTTCTGCCAAAGAAAAATGTATAGCAAAGTGTTTGTGGTTATATCTGTTTACATGTATTACACTGAGTAATGTAATGGAAGCAGTCCCAGGAAAAAAAAAAGATGCTCACTGAAACCCTGCAGCCTGTTCTATGTCTGTTTATCCATTTTCGTATTTGTTTCAGTTTTAAAGGTGAAACTATCCGCAATTAAACCACTCAAGCACCTGAAGGCTTTGAGTAAGCTTTTTTCTCTTCCTGAAGGTTATTAGTAAGTCATGTTACTTTCATTCCTCTGTCACCCTGCCAACCTGGTGTGTGAAATCGAGTCACACTCCCCAGTGTTCCCCAGAGTGAGAACTTAGCCACTGAGGAACAAAGGCAAAGAAGGGGGCTTATGGACTTGAAACGACTCCCCCACCCTGAAGTGTAAAACACTCCTCCCCCAACACAGCACAGGGCTCTTACCCCCACTGATCTGCAGGAAATGGCTTGAATCTGAGACAATGTCCCTCACCCCCAGCTTGCAGCCTCTTAAACTGGCCCAGCATGCAGAGAGTGGCCAGAGTGGGAGAGAGAGCTTGTTGAATAGAGGGATCAGCCTGTGGAAGGCAGGATTCTGTTTGTTTCTATTACAGCAGGCAATTACTAAGCAGTGAGGAGTTAATTCCTCACCCCTCCCCACGTCCCAAAGTGTGACCCTCGGTCATTGAAACCCATTTTAATGTGATACTTAAAGCTGCCACCTTTAACATTTTGGAGATCGGCAGGTACCCTCTAATGGCACTAGAAAGCCAAAAAGCTAATGTGCAAATTCCAGCCTAAGAGGTTCTCGTAGATCTGTGTCGTGTTATAACACGCACAGTGCACCGACTACAACGCGACTATACGAGGAAACATGTTATTAAAACTACAGCATTAAATGAATGTGCGTTATTTGTAGGTGGAATGGGTACATGTGGCGTTTAGTTGTCTCTTTTTGTTTTGTTTTTGAAGCTTAGCCACTGTAAGGGAAACAGTACTGCATGGCTGTGGGCCAGGAAACCGACTTATTTTCTAAATGATGTCCATTAAACCACAACGCCTATCTATGACGTCACCTCGGCGGCTTGTCTATTCAGGGATCCAGCAGCGCGGGAACGGCCGCAAGTAGCCCAGTGGCCCACCAGACCACCTCTATTCATCAGCACAAAAGTGCTCAGAGGGGTGCTAATTGCATTAGGCGTCCTCCCTTCCTCAGTGGCCTGTGTGTGTGTGTGGGTGGCTGGGTGTGGGTGTGTCGAGGAGAGTAGAGTGGATGTTAGAGGAAAGAGGAGAGGATTGGCAAGAAGTGTGGGATGTTTAAGAAGTAGGGGAGGCAGAGTGTGACGGTGTGGTGGGAGCTGGCCAAGCCCACAAGCCTTCAGGCAGGCGTCCCCTCTGTCACCTCTGCAGCTGCTGGCAACGTCTCCAACCCCCTTCACACACACACACAAACACAAATACAGGGGACGTGACAAGCTCGCTTTCCTCAGATCACAACAAACAATTGTCACATGTAGCCTCTCTAGGTGGCTAACTGGCTAGCTTTGCATTTACCTTTTGCACCTCAACTTGTCCGCCTGCACACAGCTGCAGGACTGTCGCGTACTGTAGTTTTCTGTACTTTACTTTGTCGCAGCAGGAAAATCGAAGCCCTCAGAAAGGGGAAATCTCAAAGGCGAGTGGCTTCCTCCTTCAGCTAAATTAAATGTTTTCAGAGCTCGCAGCTCTTAGAAAGTTTGTGGCTCAGTGAATAAATATTTTTCTGGGCTCTGCTTGTGAGTCAGTATTTGCCTTGCTATGTTGAGTACATTTGCACTGGTCATGCCAAAATCTAGATGGACGTGATAGAAATCCAGAGAACCTGTCGTTTTCATGCTAAACCTTCGACTTATTAATGATAATCCAGACTAATTGTGTGTTTAGTGGTAGTATTATTTGCTTACTGAAAGAAATTGAAGTAAGTAAGTGCAAGTTTAAATAATTTTGATGGCTTATTTTTTCAAAAGTAAAGTAGTAATGGTCACATTGCCTTTCTAGACTGAAAATGGTTGAAGTTTGATTAGAGATTAGATGCATTAATTGGCATGAGCTTCATTTCTTAAGTACTCTGTTGCTGTCCTTGTGTAACGTTGGAAGGCCTTGTCAGTGTAAACGCTGAGAGGAGACGCCAATGTAAGGGTTTAGTCAGAACTGTTTTCATCGTCATTTTCTTTCAATTAGAAATTTTATTTGTTTTTAAAAAGGTGAATAATTAAATAATATATTACTGATGTACTTCAGTAGGACTTTTTGTCATTATTAGTGATTACAAATACCACTATAGAAACACTGAAAAGTATTCTTCTGGCAAAATGATAAAATGCAGCACAAACAAACGGCGTGCTGTCAAAGAACGTAAGGAAATGTGTGAGCACTGCTACCCAGTAGCATTATCATGACTACGTGATGTCATGATGATCAATTACAGCAACAGCTGATAACAGTTGATAGCTACTATGTTCACTGTTTGTTTTTGTGCTGGACGTAAAAATATTTATGGCAGCATGTGGAGCAGCACAATAGCACCTATAATGTAATACACGGTTTATTCTAATTCTAATTTAGTACCACTGAAATTTTGTTTGACATGAAACGTGACAGGAGATTAACAACAATAGGAAGATCTCTCTTCTGGCGTTGCTGGGCTCTCCTAGGCGTCAGTGTCACCTCGGCAGCTCTCCACCTTTGTTTAATTGCCTCCGAGTTAATTACTCCACTAAGTGTGAAACAACGTTGTCAGACTTCTCCTGCACAGCCGTGCTTTCGCTTCATCCTCTGCACCCCCGTTGTCCAAATGGAGGCTTCACAGGCGGATGAGTGGGGTATTGAAAATAGCTGCGAAGATGAAGTTACTCTCTCAACTCTGTGCAGAGTGCAGGTTATTGTCGACAGCGGCGATGCGTAAATGTGTGTCACCAGTTACTTTTCTGTATTTGTGAAAATACTCATGGTCTAACAGCAGTTTTGGATGACGCTAGAGTGTCTTGAAGTGGAAAAGAGAAGTTGTTTGAATGAAAATTTGCAAGGCTAAAAGCAGACATTGTTGAGTCCTCTCATCTAGACTAGATTTTTGTCTCACTAATTTGGTACTACTTCTGCTGGCATGGAGCTTTGGCTTAAGTGTCTCCATTCAAAGTCTGTCATCTTTATTTAGCGGTGAGCTCATTGCTGACGTCCTGTGCCATCGGACATGGTTGACGGTGGAGCTGCGCTTTAGTAGTGCCATGGCCTTTCGGCACAGCCGATCTTTTCGGATGCCCTCTCCTAGCGGCTCGCCTGATTCTCCATGCCACTGGCATCAGCTCCATAGATCACGGCTGTCGCAGCGTGTGTAGGTGCTTGCACCGCTCTGTTAGTCTCATCACTCATTCTCGCTCGTCAGCCGGGCTGCTGATCTCACCCAGACCCCTCTCACTCTTGTCTCTCCCCCCCCCCCCTCGCCCCTTGCTTTCTCCTTCCACTCGCTCGCTCTCTTTTGCTTTCTCACACACATTTTTTTAATTAGGCAAAAAAAAAAAATCAAAGACGAAATATGAATATTCATAAGGAAACCGCATTAATATGCACAATTATGCAAATCAGCATGCAATTAAGCCTTGTGTCTCCAGAGAGCCTGGATAGCATTAGTGCATAAGACAGGGAGAAGGGGATGATGGGGGTATTTTGGAGTTTTCTGCTCCACCAGTCTTTTGGCTGTGTTTTCTTTGTGCTCCGCATCGGCTTTTTCTTTACCTAAAAAATAGCATTTCAATTTTTGGCACCACACATTGTTTGTCAAATTGACTGGGTGGAATTTAAATGTGGTTTAGATGACATGTTACTCTCTCAACAATTGGATTACATTAGAATGCTTATGGTAAACGTCCTGTTATTTAGTGAGCATAAAAAACAGCATGTATCCTACGTGTATCTTTGGAAAACGTTTAACATAACAGAGAATTTGCTTTGATCAGTGTGAATTCTTTGGCTTCCTTATGAAATGCCGATTGTGGCCACTTATAGTCATAGTCAAAACCGTTCATGTCTGTAATAATGCACATTAAAGTCGTTTAAGGTTCTTCCCTTGGACTGCTCACTTCTTCTAGTATCTAGTTTGTTTGGACTAATGCCGTTCCTCCCTACCTTTCATTGTGTGTCTCTGCAGCAATAGACGAGCGTAGCGGCTCTGGGTCTTGGGGCTCCGCGGAACAGAACAGCCCCTCGTTCAGCCAAGGACGGGTAAGCTCCAAATGCATACACTCGGCCTCTTCAGTCGCTCATGACTTTAAGTTTGCAAAGCTTTAACACCAGATGCCACGACACTGTCACTCACTCACATTCAGTTAACCGCTGCGCCATAGATGAAAACACAAACGTCCTATCCCCCAACCACAACTACAGCTTAGTACTTTTCTCATCTGTGTGCCATATGCAATTTGAAGCTGTAGTTTTACGTTCTACCTAATAACTTTGGCCCAGGATCCTGCATTGGCAAGCTCTCTGGTAGCCCAAACCTCTGTCGAAGCCCACCGGTAATTGCAAGCTTCACATCTACCATAACTGTCTTGGCACAACTCTGTGTAAATACAAGGAACAGGGGGGTGAAATGGATGCAGCAAGCTTTGATTACCACAAGTTGATAATTAAGAAAGTTGGTTTGATTCCCTCGAGCTGATGCAGATTTGTTTGGCATGGATCCTGTTAGACAGAAAAGCAGAGGGAGGGTAAGCGCTAAGCCACGCAGGGGTGCTAAAAAGATGTAGCTGGCCATGTAAGCGTGTTAGTCTATATGCCTGAGGTTAGTGTCTGCCATCCTTGGCCTTTTATGGTTAGTCGTCTTATGTGTGCCATTGTTCCCACAGGGTTATGGAGAAGGATCCCACTACAGTGAGCACGAAGCCTTGTCCTCTCCATTCATCAGTTCAGGGATTGCTGGTATGTTCTGCTTCCTTTAAGTAAACTTTGATACATGTGACTTTTATCTGTTTAAGTTTTAGCACTTGAGTCGTATCAGTTTACAAAATATAAAAACGTCATCCTTGGTACCAGATGAATGTTGCCTTGTCAAACGCCAGCTTTAAGAAACTGATGGAGACCGATTGGACAGTCGTGCATATATTTATGACCATAGAGCTGTCTTCTGGATGGCAGAATGTGTATGTATATGCATATGTTTATATCTGTGTGTGAGTGCGTGTGTGTGTGTGCTCATTCGTTGAGTGTTGGGGATGTTGGGGTATTGAAGCAGAAACCTTCCCTAGGGTTTTGTCTGGCGGGCGGCTTTATGCAGCTGAGCATACTGAGGGGAAAAAAAGGGAGGGCATCTCTGGACTTTTTGTACTTTAGAAAAACCTACTTTTCATTTGTATTAGCACAGTCCATTGCGTCTTAATCTGCGTATACAGCTCAGGGTTTCACTTGAATTAATGTTTAAATGTCCATCATGTTCACCTCACAGGTAAAAATGAGAGACCACCGTATTCTTCGTTTGGAAACCAGGTATGTTTAACCGCGAGATACATGTGTGACCTAATTTCATGTAGTTTGCCTGTGTGTAAGACGCCCCGTATTTTCAGTTCTCTTTTCATGTCGGGCACTTTGAATTGACAACGGTCTTGGTTTCTTAGAAAAGAAACCATGCTTTCCCACGCTTCTGTGTGTCTTATTAGTAAATCTTATCTCTCTGTCCTCCCCTAGCCTGGTTTTCTTCCTAGCGACATTGCGATGCCCAGCCCAGATGCCATGTCACCCTCTGGTCTGAAGTCTGGCTCTCAGTTTTATCCTTCATATCCTAACAACCCCAGGAGAAGGCCGCCTGAAGGAGCCATAGGTACGTCATGGGGCATGCAGTGTGGCTACTAAGTACTTATTTTTTGTATGTGTGTCGTTCAGGATTAATTCATTTGCTGATTATTTATTGACCATTTAACTGCGTTATGTTCGGTAGCTCCAAAAATGGTGAAAACTGTCCGTTACAATGACCCGTAGCCCAAAGTGACGTTTAAAATGTGTCGTCAGATCATTGGGACCAAAACGGTTTTCTCTTTGTCGTTCTGTTGAACATAAATCTAAATACAAAGCTACAGTGTATGCACACGAATGCACTTTGGCATTTCATTCAAACTGATGCGCGTACAGAGCGGCAAGCACTTGCTGCATCTTGTTTGTTTTTTTTGTTTTTTTTAATTATTTTTATTTTCTGGTCTAGCTTTAAAAATACAAACATGCTAACATGACATGTACCCTCACTTAGTCCGTATTTGTGTTCCTGCCTCTTAAACATTTTCTGTATGTCTCTGCTGCCTGTATGTAGAAACCCAGCCAAAGAAGATTCGGAAACCCCCTGGCCTGCCGTCCTCGGTAAGAGCTTATTTCTGCTCGTCTACACCGCTCGCAGCCAGTCCCTTCTCTCGCCGTCTCTCTCTCTCTCTCTCTCTCTGCACACACACACTGCTGTCCTCGCTCTGCTTGAACAGTTCTGTGACAGACAGGGGTAAAGACCCTCTGCTCAGTCAGACTCTTAGCGAGCTGACAGTTAGGCAACTCAGGCCCCAGTAAACATCATCACTGTGGTTGTCTGTATAGTCAAGTGGTTTCAAGTGGTTTTCTGGGTTGATTGTCATGTAGTCAAGTAATTTTGCAGGCTTTTAGGTGCTTTGTTGATGTCTACCTACCTTTTTCTGTAGCCTAGATTGAATGATACACTTTGATAGAACACGTGGTTCGCGGTTTGCTGACGCACAAATTGCACAAGGTTTGGGTCTCAAGTCTTGTTTTCTGATGTAGTTCAAGGTTTCATTGGTTTTATCGAGCTCAAAGTCAAACAAATATCCGTAAAATATTGTGAATTTGTCTTTTTTTTTTTTTTTTTTTTTTTGCACCTTTATAGTGTGCAAACAGGTAGATGTATAGCTAATTATGTAATTATAATAATTCTGTCCAAAGTTTGAATTCTTTACATGACAGTGTCTATGTTTTAGTTCCTCAATGCTGGGCTACTTGTAACGTTTGAGCCTGGGAAAACAAAACAAAAAGGATGAAGTTGTGTTTACATTTCTTGTTTGAACATATTTAAAACTGAGAAATTGTTGCTCGAAGGTAAAGAAGTGTCTCGCAGGGCCCAGACTGTACTGTCACATTATAAGAGTTGGCAGCTGCTGATGCAGCTGATGTGAGGATGATGGCAGCCAACCATAGCTGGAGATACTAGTCATTGTTGCATGTTTGAATATACAGTCAGTGAATGCTGACAAAGAATTTTCTCAGCATGTGCTGCTGTTACTCAGACTAGGAATCTTTTTCATTATGTGTCTTGTGCAGTGATTGCAGGTTATTTAAACTCAGAAACCTGGTCGTGTGTGGCTTGCCTGTGTTGCTGTTGACTCTGTCTTGATGTCTAAGCTGCTGGTGGATCATCAATATAAAATGTTGCCACTGCACAAGCGTCTTCTGACTTCGAAGATGAACATATCCTATGCTATGAACACAAGCAGAAGAAAAGATTAAAATCAATTTCTCAAACATTTTTAGCCATCTTTGCCCTATTTTGTTTGTTTTTAAAATAATCTTATTGTATGTTGCGTAGATTTTTATTCAGGCGTTCACTCAGACCAAGGCTGATAGCGTTACACGCATAAAGAAGGCACATTCAAAGGCTTGCATGTCTGACAGGGTCCATACAAGACGTCTTGAAGTGTAGTCTGACAGGAAATTCAGGGAGACTTGAACAGAGCTGCGTTTTGACTCTTAAGTTGACTTACAGTCTGTGCATTGATTAGATTGGTGTTTATCAGATTGACTCTGAGTGTAACTATGGGAACAGATCAAAGTTGAACTCGGCGAACTCTGTGCTTAGCCAGATTTTTTTTGATTTCTTGTTTGTTTATGAAATTTGCTTCTGCTGCCATCTCCCACCTGTGGGTGTTGTCGCGTTGAAGTGGCTGCCGAAACCTCTACGTGCAGACAGGCTTCGCCAAAGCGACTACATCACAGAGATGGAGTGTCAACGCTCTGTCTGGTCGAGGCCCTCTCTCTCTCTCTTCCCACTCTCTCACTGTCTGAACCTCAGTCAGTCCCCGCAGCGTGAACGATGGCTGCGTGGTTTTAGTGCGAATGATGAGACTTCTGTGTGTGAACCCCCCTCCCCCACCTCACCCAGCCCTCTGCCTACGCCTCACCACATGATGGCCTGGGTGGGCCTCCCCCTGTGAGTGACCCAGTTGTGAGGCGCAGTGCTTGTGAGGCCTCTTAGCCCCGTGTCTGAGCCCAGATTAATGATAGCTGGTGATGATCCTGTGGTCTTTCCTTCTTCCCACACTCCTCTCTTGCCGCTGTTTTATTTATTTATTTGTTTGTTTTTAAACCACCTCATCAGCATATTCTACTTTTCTTTATCCACTTGAGTTTCAGAAATCGTTTTGCTTTGTAAACGCCATATCTCAATTGCCCTCGAGCTAGCTGACTTCAGTTTCCCAGCGTTACCTGCGCACAAGATCCTCTAACCGTGCAAATCGTACGCCTCTTTTCATGTGCAACAAACAAAAAACATGGAGGAGCCTCTCTTCTGCCCCCTAGTTGTCCAGTATACTAACCACAAACCCCTGTGGTTGAATAAAGCGCTCTGAGGTTAGTTTGATGTTAATCTTCATCTACTCCCCACCCCTTGCCACAAGCCGCTTTTTTTTTTATATATATATATCTGTGTGTGTGTGTGTGTTTTTTGTTTTTGCTTTTTTTTTTCTCTCTCTCCTCCTGGTGTAGAGACCTTTACACGGTCATAACCTGAATTACATTAAACCCCTATTAGTTGAGGATTTTACCCTAGCAATCCCTTTCTTCCTGAGAATACAATTATCCAGCAGCACTAGTCATTGTGTAGTCCTGTGTTCCCATCTAGAGCGGCAGGATTCACTCGACATTGTTCCCCGTGAAAGAACAACTCAAAGCCTATTGTTAAATGAAGCCATCTCCATCATGTTTTCCCCTGAATTAACCGTGATCATTTTAAATCCCCTGTTTCCTTCACACTCCCCTGGCCATATCAAGCTTTGTTTAAGTCATTTAGATTACCTTCTCCTGTCCCCCTCAACACCCCTTATCTCTCTACCCATTTCATAAATCATCAGGGCCTTCATTTTTTCCCCCCTCAGTCCTCCCCCTTGCCCCTTAACCACCCCCTACCCACTGCAATCTCTCCCTCTTTCTCTCTCCCTCTCTCTCTGTCTTGCTGACTGGATCCCAGCCCCCATCTCTCTCCCTCTCTTCTCTCCCTCTCCTCAGCCCAGCTGCCTGTGGAGTTGGATGTGGTCCAGGAACAGGCAGATGGCTCTGTAATTAGAAGTGCATCTCTCCATTCCCTTTCCACTTCTCCCTGTTAAATCAAATTACAGAAAAAATCCCTTCTCTGGATTAGCATTCTTTGCAGCATAGCCTCCATTCTCTTTCTCTCTCCCTCTGTCTGCATGTAGTACAGAGGAGGAGAGGAAAAGGAGGACTCAGTGGTGGCTGATAGTCTGGAAACTGAAGGCGTCTCATGTCCGTCTTCTGTTGCTGTGTTCGGAGGCCTAGCATCAGTGGTCGTTTGCAATATTTAGGAACAATGTGCAGTTGAATTCTTTAAGGTGCAAGTATTTAAAATGTCTACAATATTAACCAGAGCTGTTCTTTGTCATTTTCAATCCTCTGACGCTCTAGTGCGAGTTTGAGGACATAGCTTTTGGATTGTGCATGGATGGGTGTGTTGGCTCACTGAATGCATGGTATGTGTGCGAGCTGATACCGAGTGTGTTATAGGGAGGGGCTGCAGGCCAGGCAGTGCGATGTCACTGGGGTCCTAGGAGCTAGAGAGGAAGTGCTCACTGTGCACTGGGATCTAAGCCGTCGCTGTGCCCAGCATGCCATGGCCACTGTGTTCTCCTCCACGGGCGAGGAGCCGGCCTTCCTCCTCCACCGTTGGCAGACTCCCTCTTGCCATCTTGTGGTCACTTGGCGCTAGTGTAATTAAATGGTTATCCATAGCAAAGACGAGATGGATCAATGCCACAGTACTTCATCTTTCGTGATGGCTCAGGATTCATAGTAAACCGCTAACACACATGAACGCTGGTGTGTATTGTAGTGTTGTATAACCGTAGTCCAACTGTTTGTCACGTCTCTTTGTTTAGGTGTATGCTTCCACATCTGGTGACGAGTATACCAGAGAAAATGGGGGATATCCTGGTGCTAAGCCTGGAGTCTACCCTACCTCTTTTTACTTGCAAGGTAACCTTTCATAAAATATTACTATTGCCCTGTAATCTTCTTTGAACTGTTTTCATATTAATTCCAAACATTTTTTTTCTTAGATGACCCCTGGTCATCTTCTGGCTACTCTGCCATGCTGGGTAATTCCCCTCACATTGGACAACCAGGCTCCTTTTCTGCAATCAATCCACAGGACAGGATGGTGAGTAGAAATGGCCTCAATCCCATGCTGATGGTTGATGTTGTGGTAACATCCACATAACAACATGTAACAACAGTATAAGTCATCGTGGTTTATTTTAAACGTGCTGTTAATTGTTTGGGTACGGCATGTTGAACATCCATTCTCAAGGCGCCAAGTACACGATGCAGATTGGGTTATTTTTTTTCTGTGAACGGCTTTTGTGCTTTATGACGCTACCTGTATCCCAGAAACATCACCCCTGCCTCTGTCCCCACAGAACTATCCTCTGCACAGCAGCGAGGTCAACGGCTTCCACTCGGCCCCGACCACCTACAACCACACGCCCACCATCAACGGAGAAGGCATAATGGGTAAAGAACCTTTGAAAAGAGCGCGTCGCAAACTTCTCCGTCACTGGTTCGACGGCTACGTGGTCAGACTGAGTTGTTTTTTCAGATTAACAAGTCATCTGACTCGCATTTATTTTATCTCTGCAGCCAACCGAGGCACCACAGCTGGCAGTTCAGGAGATGAAATTGGAAAGGCTCTTGCCTCAGTGAGTTCTTTTCTCTCTGTTTGTTGCTTTAAATTAGTGCTGGGCAATAAAACACTTTAAATAATTTTCCCGAGAGTTTTATATCCTCTAACGAAGTGAAAATCAGCAGTGATGGTAAATTCTGTTGGAGACATGAGTGGAAATTCAGCTCGGGGAGTGTCTGAAAATGGCAAAAATGTTAGTTAGATGGTGTAGGATTATTTTGGATATAAAGAGTTTTTTATCCTAAACAGATTGATTGTTTTAAAAAAAAAAAAATATCCTGAAGGGGGAGTGAAAAACCAAAACAGCTGTTTTTTGGCTTCAAGTGGCATAGTTAAATTTTTATAAACCCTTCTTGAATCAGTTGTTTTGCTGTTCTGCTTACAATAACCTGGGTCCTTAAGCATTTCCAAGGTCATGACAATAAGAAATATCTAACCATTAGATATTTAATGTTATTTATTTTTGTTTACTTTTATTTTTTAGAAGAAGGTTTAGACATTAAAAGATGTATGGACATGTTTACCTATGAGTATTTTTACCTTTTGAACCCAGGAGATTGAATTTGAAGTTTTTATCTGCTCATACTTTCAGATTTACCCATCGGACCACAACAGTAATAATTTCTCCTCAGCTCCATCTACTCCTGGATCTCCTCAGGCCATCGCAGGTACATTCTCTCATACGGTGTTAGTACTTCAAAAAACTCACAATAAAAGATAATCTAATTAAAATGACAGATGTTTAAGTTTATCCTTTTTTGAAATATGTGGAAAATTTGTATCAGTTCTGCATTGTGCTGATGAACCTCAAGGCTGTGTAGATTTAGCAAATCAAAAGGTTGGTAAACTGAGTTAAGGTGGTTTTATCTCTGCCGTGCAACCACAGATTTGGTTAATGAATCAGCGTGAACTGGACAGTACCTTAATGAGTACAGTTCATTTCACTTGTTCAGTCTGACCCGATTGCATTTTTGTCATCGAAGAATGAGTGTGTTGAACTTGAGTGAATGTTTTCTTGTGCGTTTTTAATGTTATTCAGCAGAAAAACGTGTCTGCAGTGCCACCTGGTGAAAAGTTGAGAAATGCTACTTAACCGACACCCAATATTTCTCCCTGCAGGACCTCAGTCTCAGTGGCAAAGACCAACCACACCCAACTATGAAGGGCCACCACATGCACTGGTATGCCAAAATATTTCTCTGCTTCATCAATCGTAATTAAAAACCTAACGTTGCCGGTATGGGTGTGTTCTTCTAGCCTTTGTATGCCGTTACTTGTTTTAATAGTTGATGTCCCACCTTCATCTTGACAGCTTAGCACATCTTTCATGTATTTATACAGCAGAGTAAAATGGAGGATCGCTTGGAAGAGGCCATCCACGTGCTCCGTAGCCACGCTGTGGGCCAGGGCCCCGGCTTAGAGGGCGCCCACTCTGACATGCACAGCCTGCTGTCTTCAGTACACAACGGGGGCCTCGGAGGCCTCTCTCCGGCTTTCCCCAATGCAAGTCTTGCCCTCAGCAACAGACATCCCGCAATGGTGAGTCACCTGCTCTGTTCAACATGTTTTCTTTTGTTTTTAAGAGAGGTGTGGGCTCGTGATGCTGCTTTTAAACACAAAGCAGACAAAAGTCCTCGTCTAAGCATTGGCGCGGTCTACGTTTTCATTCATAGAGATTCAAATTGGGTACGCTCCTGAAGAGGCTGTGTCAGTGTCGAGGTTTAAACGAACATGCTCCGGTTTTTAAAACATGTTAGAAAACTGAGACGTGGGAAATGATTTACAATTAGGGGAAAGTTTGTTGTGTGTTTAATTTTATGATGCACAACAAATTGTCCTTTTGAACAGATAAATATTTTCTATTTTCCAAGAAAGGATTTGGATTAAATGGGGGGGGAAAAATCAGTCAGAAAAATTAGTCTGGGTTTTATCTCCACCAGAAACAAAAAACCATCACAGTGGTGATGCTTTGTGCCATCTGCTGGCCAAACGGTGTACAGCAAGAGTTCATTTTATATACTTTGTCTCAGAGTTATGTCAAACCAGTTCCAAAAAATATTAGCAAATAAGTTTGTTTTTTATTATTAATGTCAAAAAGTATTCAGTTATTTTCAATATACGTCATGTCAGTTTTGGGTTGTTTTTTTGTTTTTTTTTTTGTTTTTTTTTCCTGGATTTCGGTTGGGGGGGGGGGGGGCTTTGTAGTCTGTGTATCAGCTTTGCTCGATCTGTCCTCGTGAGTCTATCGTGACCGTTCTCCACCTTTACCAGCAGGGTGGGAAACATGAGGAGCCCACAGGTCTTCCTCCCAGCAGCACTCTCCTGCACGGTCATCACGCATCTGGACCCACACCAGCAGTAAGCCAGCCAGAAGGCTTTACCAGTAAGTTTGATTAATGATTATTAATTATAAAAATGTCTATTTTACATGTACACAGATTTCTTTTGGACTTCATCAGCTTCCCCGGTGCTGTATGCACTCCTGAAACTGAAAATATTAAAGCTTCGCGCACTGTGTTTGTCCGTAGGTCTCCCGGGTGGTTTGGCTCGTTCCTCACACTCCTCCAGCAGCTCAGATATCAAAAGAGAAGACAAGGAGGACGATGAAAATTCATCTGTTGCAGACAAGTCAGAGGAGGAAAAGAAAGACACCAAAGCGGCACGCAGTCGAACAAGGTAAGGTCCTTGCACGTTTAGTCTTTTCACCTCAAACTTTAAAAACTTTGAGCCTGATTTTTACAGAATTAAACTATTACTTTGTCAAACAAAGGTGAGGATCGTTTTGTCACTAAGAGAATATAAAGGGAGTCAGCTGTCACTTTTATACAAGTTTAATTCATCTCAGGCATTTCTTCTTTCCTGTGTTTCCCAGTGATTGCCTAGGCTCTGTTAGGTTTTTAACGATGTCAAACTCCCCCCTCGCCCTTCATGTCACATTTTCAGAAAGGAGGCGTTGACCCTCCAGATGCTCTCTGGCCTTTCAGACCAGAAAGATGATGAGTAAGTTTCTCCAATAGAGAATCAATTTCTAATGCTTTGTGGGCTCTTGCCAGGCACCACTGAGCAAACAAATGCCGCTGGAGCTGATGTCTAAACGATCTCTGCTCGACAGAGTCGTCACAGTATTTCTCATTCTGAACTTTGCTACTCATTAGTCACCATTTCTGCACAGTTACCACCTGGAAGTTTTGAAATTTGAACCCAAAATGCTTTTTAGACTACAAACAAATGCAAGGATGAAACAATAGACATTTATCCCAAGTCCAGCATCACAGTAATGAACAACGCTGCACAAAATCCTAAGAAGTTCGGGGTTGTAAAGGTGAAGGCTAAAGCTGCTTACCATGCTTAGCTTCTTACAAGACATAGATTTTAAATCTGCTAACACTTCACACACAGCAGATAATGTTTTTCTAATTGAACTTGTGTGGGATAAGCATTTTAATTAAATGATCATATGAACTGCTTCTTCAGCAGTGTTGGGAATTGTTTCTTTTAAAATGAACTTTTGTATTATGAGGTTAGAGCCCTTTACTAAGGTGCATTTGCAGGATCAAAAAGAAAAAAGGCCTTGTGATTCTTTGCGCCTGTTGGTTATGTTGTCCAGAGGCCGTTAGTCTGTACACAGTTTGCATTTTGCATTTGTTTGTTTTTTTGCCCCTTTTTTTCCCTCCACAAATTCAAAGTGATGCAAATAATTCCACAATGTAAATAGTGTTCTTCCTCATTCACATATAAACTGCTGGCTTATAATGCAACTCAAGTGTTGCATTACAAGACACATGTTGCCCCCAGCACTTTTCTTCAGTAATGTTTTCCCAGCACTTTAACAAGTCTGCTTAACCCTCTGGAGGCAGGCGTTGCCGATTTGCAACAGTTAAAAACTAACAACCCGATTACCCCACATACATATTTTATGAGTTTTTTTTACTCAGAAGTACCACTGCAGGACTTGGATGTGCATTAGCAACAGAAAGTTTAATTTGAGCCTGAGAGGGTTAAAACTGTGAACTGGTAGAATGAGCACTTTTGTTTTGTAGTTTCATCCTTTCATTTTTGCTTGAAACCAGTCAGGAAGACGATGAGGACCTTCCCCCCGAGGTGAAGATGGAGCGCGAGAGGGAACGACGAGTGGCTAACAATGCCCGTGAGCGCCTTAGGGTACGGGACATCAACGAGGCATTTAAGGAGCTTGGGAGGATGTGCCAGCTGCACCTCAGCCACGACAAACCTCAGACCAAACTTCTCATCCTTCACCAAGCTGTTAATGTCATCCTCAATTTAGAACAACAAGTCAGAGGTCAGTTTGCATGTACTCTTATGGATGAAAATCCCAGCTTTGTGGACCTCTGTCGAGGACTAAGAAGGCTCATTTCTGTGTTCATCTTTCTCAGAGCGTAACCTAAACCCAAAGGCAGCGTGTTTAAAACGCCGCGAGGAAGAGAAGGTGTCTGGGGTGGTGGGTGAAGCACCCATGCAGCTCTCAGGAGGCCATCCTAGCATGGGTGGAGATGGCCACAATCCAGTTGGCCACATGTAACACCAGGTAGGCCCAAAAGACTCGTGTTAGAATTTAACCTACTTGCAAGTATACAATACCCGCAGTCATATTCTATCATTTGTGTGTTTTGCAGGAATGTCGTTGCATTATGTCATTGTGCTCCTTCCTTTTTCCAGATCTGGTGGTGTTTTTCTGGCTGTCAGAGGATGTGGCCTTAACAGATTTCTTCCACCCGTTATTCTCAAGTGTGTATGTGTGTGTGTGTGTGTGTGTGTGTGTGTGAGAGCGTGTGTATGTGGACATGTCTGTGTATTGTCCGTTCAAATTTCAAGATGCACACTCGTACACACATGCATACTGCCAAAACTGACACAGCCTGTTTGTCGCACTCCCAACCATGACTACAAGCTCAAATGTGAAGAACTGCCTTTTTTTTTTCTTTCTTTTTTTTTTTTTAATTACATGTAAACTTTTTTTCTTTTCTTTTTTTCCTGGTTTCCACATGATGATGATGATGATGATGGAACACAGGAGTACTATTTTTATTTCTTTGTCCTGCCACACATTGGGGCTTCACACACTGCCGAGAGGTGCTCTGGTGGGAGTGGGGGGGAGAAGAGAGAGAGAGACCTAAACAAATGATTTGAATCAAGGATTTGTGCCTAATTGTTACATGTTTTCTATTTGACATTTAAGCAAATTGCTTTACATGTGAGGAACATTTATTGTGAGGGATTGCTTATGTGTATGAGCAATTATTTTTAATGTATGTCATTCCCAGCGTGATGGTACAGTCTTACATATGTTATGTAACCAAGCCCATAGTTGAAGTTGAACTGTCAAAATTATTTTCTGTGTGTGTGTGTGTGTGTGTGTGTGTGTGTGTGTGTGTGTGTGTGTGTGTGGAGGTTGGGGAAAAGGTCACAAGGCAAAGGTCACAGTTTTGACAGTTGAAACGCAGCTTGAAGCATGAAAGACGGAACTCTGACTTAGAGACAGTCTCTGGCCGGAGCCCGGTCACATCACACAAGGCATCTGGAGACTTGGAATTGAAGACTTCTCCCTTGAAGACGATAATCTATCCAAGTGGGAGAATCTGTCAACAAAACAAAACTGTTCTTCCTGTTTGTTGACCACAAATTCAAGTGTTACTCCAGTAGTTGCTTGTTATCGATCCAGGTTTTTGTACCGCTTTATGTACTAAAGCATCCACAGACGAAAGCACAGTCATGTAGTTTTAGGCTGGACTTTGAGTGTTGACCTGTTTCACGTTTCAGTCCCTGTGAAAGTCTGTATGAAAGCCATTTGAATTACTCGCTGAGTGAACAGCGCCCTTTAGTGCTGTATCTTTGAAGTGGTTTTGATGGTGCCAACAGACTTAACGGCTCGAATATTTCCCCTTAATTGAAGTTCAGCAAAAGGAGAAAAACAAAAATTACAAAAAAAAAAATTTAAAAAGAAAATCTGGGTTTCTACAACGGAGGGATCTCATCAGTCCACGGGCGTTAAAGCAGACGAGCTTCTGTGTAACCGAAGCTTTGTTTCCTAAATGAGCATTCCCACTGAACTGCAGCCCTTCACCTTTCTCCTGAGTAAGTGTGTTTTCACGTTTCTTACCGAGAGAAGTGTGATGTGTAAATTCACTTCATACATTATTCTGTTTCATTTTTCAAAATTAAATATATATAAAAATATATATTTTTTGTTAGTCTATACATTGTAGATTTTTTACATAAATGGCAATATTAGTTTGAAGTTTAGAGTGTATTGTAGATGAGCTGTATAAGGGGATATTTGACATTTAATTCAAAATTGAACTGGGATGGCGGTGGAAAAGGGTTGACGGGATGACAAATGGAAAATGTTAAAAGCGTTTGGTGTGTCCTTTTATTCCAGTTTTAGTTGTGAAGCGTCTCATCAGCTACCCAAGAGAATTCTTTCTGTCCATTTGGGAGCGTGTGGGCAGAATCGGTGCCACGGACCTGCTGAGGCATTCTGACCCCAGCAGGGGGCGCTGGAGAAAAATGGGGGAGGGGATTTTTGTCTCTAACAGTAATTATGCAACTGGTTTTTGAATGTAGCTACCATACAAATGTGGATCGCCTTCATTTTCAAAGTTGTGTTCCTGGGTTTTGTCAGTACCGTGTAATAGTTTTCACTTCACTCTTCTTTGTTTCTGATGTCTGTCCTCAATCGAGCAGCGCTTGGCGTGCAGCTCGCTGTTCAACTTCCTGCTCGTTTATTTTGGAGGCAGATGCCCGTGTTTGGGTGTAAGGTTAAGGGCAATATGGAGAACAAAAACAGTGTTATTGTGATGTTATTCCCATGTCATGTCATGTTGTGAATGGCTTCTTTTTACCAACATGTAATCACAAATGGGAGGTGGAGCATTTTGTGTGTTTAATTTCTACAAAAAGAGATGAAGAAAAAGACCTATACAAATCAATAGTGTGGCCTTTTCATTCTCAAGACTTAAGATGTCATGATGGGAGAGTGATGCCTTATCAGTGCCTGAACTTGTATTTTATTTTATTTTTTTCATTTAAGACAGTTTTTATTTTGTGAACCATATCATTTCATTTATCATGGAGATTAAAGAGGTACTTGTTCATTCCCCCACCCTCCCTTCTCCTAATGCTTTTTTCAGTTTTCAGGAAGAAGTTTAAATGGTATAAAGAGATTTTTCTTTCAGTGTATCTAGTTAAAATAAATAAATGTTACATAGATCTTGTTTAGTTTTTATTCCTCTTTTTTTCCCCTGAAATATTCAACTGGATTGTCCAATCTGCTGTGTTAGTGAAGGTCACGGGTCCAGGTCCTGAGTTTTCTGTCTGTCCTGTATTGCTAAAGCGTGGCAGGGTTCAAGAGGTGCTGCTTCTGACTCTGCTTGTCTGCTTTTGATGCACAGAAACCTGTTTCGGTATGTGCTGCATGGTGTCGGCGTGGACAGTTTATTTTCAGGTGTAAAGACTTTCTGCATTGTGGCGTCCAAGCCCTTCGCTGCAGTGACTTTCAGTATGTGTCGTCACTAGTGACAATTTTAAACCCCAACCTTTCACTCTTCCAGCTCTTTGATGGTGTTGATGGAGACTCTTGGGACATCCTTGATCACTTAAGTCAAAAAGTTGTGTTTTGAAGTTTTGTCTATTGTCACATGATCAATCTGTGTACTGGATACTGCGATGGCAATTCCAAGAGAAGAATCGGATTAGATGTAAATTAGTATTCCCTGGGCTGGACTTCTGTGGCGGGGGGAGCTTTTTCTTTCTTGTTTGAAGTCTTGATATAGACACAGTTTGAAATCTGACAAACAAACAGCCACCCCAGTCACTGCAGGAGCTTGTAAATGTTTCAGCTGATGGGCTTGGACTTGTTTTGTTCACACGAGAGCATAATTAAAAACTTTCTTTCGACAGCTTTGTCACATCTTTGTTGAAATAAAAGGGGGTTGGACCATTGAGTGTTAACGACATTCACAGGCACAGAGCTTGACATCTTGGAGCGAGGACACTGTTGACTGCTGGTCCTCAGAGCGCCTGACTCAGCCTGTCTCTCTCTTACATATATATTTACATATATAAATATATATAGTTGAGAACTGTCCTGTAAATAACAGTAATGTAGCAATAAATGTGCCATTTTAATAACAGATTATACCTTTTCCAATGTCTGGCTTTTGAATATTGTATACATTTAAAAAAAAAAAAAAAAAAAAAATAAAGGAAACCATTGTAATAAAGGGTTAAATTAATTTGTCCATATTTTCTATTGCCAATATTCGGACAGGGTAAAAACTCACTCGAGCGCCATCAGAATGCAACAAAGGCGCCACGTTAAAGAGCAGATGTGAGCCGTTACTGGAGCTCTGAAGCCAACATGTTTAAACAGCCCTCTTTTGTAAACGCAGGTCTTTAAAATGGTGGCCTGAAACGACCCTGCACTGCTGCACGCAACCGCGGATGTGGTGGTTATTTTTAAACAGGCAGAAGAAGAGACAGCCCGGGGTCCTTCGCGACAAGAGCAACTACGAGAAGGTCACAATGGTTCAGAAAATATTAAATAAAATCATCGGAGCCAAGTACATAGGTATTGCGAGGACGTGGTAAGTTAAGAGGTGGAGCGGGTTTACGGGGGGTTGGTCCTGCTTTTTTTTTCTTTTTCCTTTGTGTGTCCTGCGTCACCCCTTTTAGCCTAGCTGGCTAGCTGTTTGTTACCATAGAGATGCTTTTTTTTTTTTTTTTTTAATGGCGAACTAAATGGCTGAGTGTTACAGCTGGGTTGGTTTACAGCTCAGTTAGTGATATGGGAGTCAAGGTTTATGTCTGTTATGCTATGATACATCCAGATCCTCCCAGTAAGAACAGAACCGCTCATACTGGCCTGATGGAAAATAGTGTACATGAGAATTATTATTATTATTATATTTTGTTATTTTTGCATCAAATGTAAGGATTTCCCAGTTTTTCATACTCTTAATTAAACCGGAATGTTTACAGTTACTGCTCGTTAACCATTTACAACATTAATATTATCCAGTTTGGATAACTAATAACAGGAAATCCTCACTCATTGTTTAGTAAAACTAGAGTCAAACTGATGTTTGTGTACCTGTATTAGAGGTAAAAGACTGATTATAGGCCATTAAGAGATTGTGTTTTCCAAAATATTGTTAGAAATGGTGTAACACAAGGTTTGGCCAGCAGGGCGGCGCCGCCTCCGTTGTTTCCAGCGTGCTTAGAGCTGCCTGCAGCACCTGCAGCAGAATGGCATTAGTAAGCTGCCAGCCCCCATCATTTTGCCTATTTGATATAATCTTAGTATATTGTATTTTTATTCATATATAAAACTTGGGAATGTTTTACTCCCTAACAAACTGTATCGCTCCAAATCATTAACACCTCTTTTTTTCTGTTAGTAAATCATTCCCTTTTATTCAGACAGGAGTTCCTCTTTCTTTGTCAGTGTGTGAGGTAGTCAGACTCGAACATCATGGAAGGTGGTAGAGAAGCAGACTCAGCAGACATTTCGAGTTTCCAGAGGTGAGCAATTTATTTATAGTGAACTCCATCCTACGTGAAACTTAACAAAACTTCCCCCCAAAGTAACCCAATTAACAAAACTCAAAAGTACATGGATTTCGTAACACAGCTCACCTCTCCTTTCTCATCTGAGTCTGGCAGAGACTCACTATATATAGGGCCATCAGTTTCCCTTCAATTAGCCCAGCCAGTACCACTCACTTGAGCTGAGTGATCTAAAACTCTACATAGTTGACTAAAAATGACAAAAAAAAACTCCTCACACTTCTAATTAGCACCTTTACACAACTAAACGGCTCTATTTAGGGAAAAAAAAGATTCAGCAAATCCCTTCAGACCTTGAAACAAACAAAAGGAAGCATTTCTATGGTAAAAGAAACCCCTCCTTTTGGTTCAACCTGCTGATGTCATGAGTGGCATCATCAGCACTTTAAAATAAGGAAATGCTAGGTGGGCCTTTCCCCACACCTGACCTACATGAAGACTGAAAAGAAAGAACAAAGTAAGTATGAACAAATGACTTAACCTGTAACATAATAAAACATAAAGAAACATGTAACTGAGTATTTGCCTTAATTTGCAGAATGTGTGTTTTGCCAGCAACAGAATGCTTACACAAACAAACCCGGGATAGTTAGTGCAGCAATGTTACTTTGACAAATAGCAAATAAATACAGAGACAGAATAATGTGCAAAAAAAGTCAGCACATCTGGGACAATTGCTCATCCACTTTGTCACACTGTGCATATCTTTTTGCAAGCAAATTTATTTTTATGGTCATCCAAATAAAAAATAAATAAATAATGATATATATATATAATAGTATCTATAAAAACGGCATCCAGTACAAACTAAATAACAGACTATTACTACCATGTCGTATGGTGACTGAGGGGTGTAATCTAAGCTGGCATTGAGGGTGTGGTTACATTTCTGTCTTATTCAGGAGTCCTGTTTTCTTCCTTCCAGGGTCCCAAACATGGTTGCCTGGGGAACAGTGGGCGGCGTGGCACTCATTCACTTCACAGATTGGCGATTAATCCTAGACTATGTGCCGTACGTTAGAGGGAAGTTCAAGACAGACGAGTAAACTCTTAACATGTGAGTGTGTTACAGGTGTATAAAGGCTGTGCAGATCATTCTGCTCTTCTTTTCCTGTTCACTGAAGTAATATGCAAGAATAAAGGCTCCATGCTTCTGTATGATTAATTTTTGAAAATGATTTAGTTTTTCTTTTTTTATTATTATGAATTATGTGGCAATGTTTGGGTGTACCACAGATATTGTAGATAATATCTTTGATATCCATTCTGTCATTTTTGTACATGTGTTACTGGTTAAAACAGACCCTATTTAATAGTTGCAGACCATTGGAACCCTCGCCCTATCCCAACCTCTTTATCATGTCAGAAATCCTTCACTTGTTGCATCAGGCAGAAGGTTTCCTAAGAGAAAAACAGGAGTTAGCCATTCAGCCTGACGTGTTCATGTACACTTTTCTAATAAACGGGCCGTGTGTCTGCCTGCAGGACCACAACGTTGGGATGGGCACTTGGGTGGATTCCTTTCACACTTTGAGCTTTTGTGGGATGCCCTGTCTCAACAGTCAGTCACTGAGGGCTTGTTAGGAGTTTGGACTTCAAGATGCACTCTCTTTATAAACTGCTGTTTTTGATTCAGTGTTATTAAATGTGAATAAATGTAATTTACTCCCAGTATGTCTCCTTGTTCTCTAAATGTACAACTATTAAAATGCTTTGTTCAAACTTGTATGGTGAGAAATTTTCGTTTATTTACTTAAAATCAACTGGATGTTTTTATTTATTTATTTTATTTCATTTAGTAGCTGTCACAGCATGCTTTTCTCGTGCTGTAAAAATAATTTAAAATTGCATATTAATTCAGCCTAACGAGCCCAGCAGCTCAACCAGAAGAGGCCAGTTTGAGCCAGACATTATGCTCTTTTTATCAGGCAGACTGCGAAATTTGCGTGGATAATGTCTTTCATTTCTAACATCGAAGGGGGAGGGGACTGAAAGAAGAGAGGGGAGAAGGGATTTAACATAGCGAGAGGGAGAAAACCAGATAGTGTCTTCAAGATGGATAAAAACGAGTAAGTACACGTAAAGGACAATAAAACCGCGAGCTGTGGGTGTAATTATGACTAGCGTTTGATGCGTTATTCGGAATATGTTCGGAAACTATGTTTGCCATCGATCAGGCAAATCCCACCGTCTAGTCTCCTCGCATTCTGCAAACATCCATGCACCGGCTTGAAGCCAGGCTGTCCGCGTCCCTGGAGCCTCGCAGCATGCTTTAATATCTCTGAGATTCACAGATAATACGGTTTAAGCACGGAGGCAGGACTGCGTCGACACGGTGCTGTTTCGGCGCAGATTTTTAGCCGTGCAAAGTAGAAATAATGTTTCTTTTTCCTGCATTGTTCTTATAGAAACTAAGCGTGACGTGTAGTTGAAATGCTGTGCGGTACATCGGTGACATCTACTTTGTTCATTGATAAAAGCCGGCTCCGAGCCTGAATGACAACGGTCGGCATTGTCGTGGTGAAACGGCTCTCCACTTTCACGCAGTTCACACAGAAACCTGCGCATTTTGGTGAAGAAACCACAAATAAATGTGTTTATTTTGCGTATTTTGCTGGATTTAATTATTTAGCACCGGTCGTGGTTGTTGTCAGCGCCGCTTCGTGCTTATTGTTTACGGTCTATTTGTAGCTGCAGCCTAATTTATGTTTCCCATAGATTAACGTTGCTCTGGTGTTATGACACTGACGTCAAGCTACGGGGACGTAGAACGCACAACTTCCTGTAAGATCTGTCAAAATAAAAGCGTATACAGGGTCGCTTCAGGTCAAGAATTTGTAGGATTTAGCTGCATAACCCAAACTCTGGTATAACTAAGCACAGCAAGGGGGAGGCAGTCATACTATACTCAATCATAATATTATAATTATATATTTAATCGCATAACTGCATTCACATATTTGATAAAACATTGTTTTAATTCAACATGAACAATCACTCAAAAACTGAAAAACGCTAAGTAGATCTCAATTTATTTATTTATTATTAAACCTTACATTTCAAAGTCAAGAATTTAACTACTCAAATGCATTCAAATAACAATTTTCAGTATTAGCTGTTTTTAATAGAATCAATAGAATATCTTTATTTGTCATTGTCCGGGTGTACGAGAATGTTTGGATCATCTCCCTGAGTAATGCATGCAATTAAGACACATCAATTTCTATAAAGTCTTGATTTATAAAACTAAAAAAAATGAATGTGAATATTTAAATTAGAGGAAAAAGAACAAGAATAAATTAAAACACATGAACGTATCCGTTTTACGG